TTCAAATTATATCTTTTTATATATATATATATATATATATATATATATATATATATATATCTTCTTTATATAAATTATGTGAAATGAAATATTATTTGATAAAAATATAATTTATTATTGTATATATAATTTATCTCAAGATTAATTTAAATCAAATATAATTTAATTAAAAAATTTAAAGTATATCTTTATATATATATATATATATATATATATATATATATATATATATATATATATCATTCTTCTTTGTAGACATTAAATACAATTAAATATAAATATAAGGTCCTTACCATTTATGTCAACAGTGATAAGTAGGGCATATATAGCCTACGTTATGTAATTTTTTTCCTATAAATTATATTAAACTTGTTTTATTCTTACATTTATTTTTATTTTATTTTTGGAATAATTTTTTCAAAAATACATCCAGGGAAATACCTAATTCTGAATATATTTTTGGAAAGATTTTTTCATAAACACATTTCAAAACACTCTAACCCAATTTGAAATACATTTTTAGATCCATCTTTCCAAAAATACATTTTGAAACTTTTAATTCATAATATATTTTCGGATTAACTTTTTCAAAATTTAACTTTATTTTTATAATACAATTTTAGATAGAACAATTTAAGTCTCTTTGTGCAATAAGTGCAATAACATATAATTTATACATAATATTAATTACTACTTATATTTAATTGTTATAAAAAGACCTTTGATAGAGTTGATAGTGAAAAAATCAAATAGACAAATGATAGAAATACTTAGGGATGAAAGTACAAAAATTGTAGATAAATAGAAGAAGTTAAGGTAAAAATCAAAACTATAAAAATGATATTTTAAATATTTGACTTAGATACAAAAGTGCATAGAGAGATTACGATGACAAAGTGAGAATATATTGTATAAAAAAGTGGAAAAAAAATTTAAGAAATTTATAAAAAATTGTTTCTTATTATATTTCTAATGTGAAATTCAGTTATTCTTTAATAATTAATGTGAACTTATTAAATTTTTATACAAAGGTGATAAATAGGTAGGTTAAAAAGATGATATTGTGTATGAGAATGAAGATAATATATGCTTAAAAAACTTATATAAATTGTGTATTTTTTATTCTCCTTAGTATTTTTACAAATGTGATAAATATACGGTAGTCATGCAAAGATGATGATGTATATCATATAATAAATGAGAAAAGAGAAGAGAAAATGTGTATTCATATTTTCATAGAAAAAAGTTTATGTTTCTTAGAAGTAAGGAAATATAGTATTTCCTTAACAGTTTATAATTAAAAAATTACTTGTAATTTTTTTTCCGTCTCATTCGTTGTTTAATATTTTTGTGTTTAACTATATTTTTTTAATTTTTGTTTTTCCTAGTTTTGTTCCTAAGAATTTTGCATGTCTATTCGTTACTTCTAATAAAAATATTATTTATTATATCAGAAGACGTACTTGTTATAAATTCTCTCACCATGTATATCTTTTTATCCTATATCGAATATGACTTTGTGTAATCACTTTTGAAAATATGTAAGATAGTCATCATTTATAGAGTATGTTTGCTAGAAAAAAATTATATATATATATATATATATATATATATATATATATATATAATCACAATCAATATAAATATCTTAAATATAATTTTTTTCTTTCATATACTGTATGATTTGTAAATTAAAATATAAGAAAAACTAAGAAATCATACTTTATCTAAATGCTTTGAACTCTTTTACATATTGTCACATGTTTGATTTCTAATGTCACGTATTTATTATTAATGAAATACTTTTATATCTATATTTAAAATAATGCATTCAATAATCATCATACATAAGAAAACAAAAAACAAATAAAAATTTGTTTATGATCTCTCTTCTCCTTATATATAAAAGTTATTTTTTCAGAGAAAAGCATTATAATATTATATTTACTTTAAATATTTATAATTAAAAAATACTACTATGTAATATAATTTTTATTTATATAAGCAAAAAGTTATGTTATATAGTAGAACTTATTCCCTAATTAATAAAATTAACATTTAACTGATATTATATAACATAATTTATGTTTAAACAGAAAAAATACTTATAAAATCGTGATAAAATATAGTTTATATTTTATTTTTTAAAATAAAATTGTGTTTACAAATATAATTTAACTAAATTTGTAGATTTCTTATAAAAGTAAAAAAAAATTATATCCTTAGTTTATTTTCATTATTTAAAAAAAACCAAAAATTATGGTTAATCTTCATATTATATTCTAAGGGAAATTAAACTTTACATATATAATTTACGTGGAATTAAATATATTTGATAAAAACATAATTTATTAGTATATAAAATTTATAATATAATTTTTTTAAGACATTAAATGCAAATATGAGGTACTCAACATGTGATTTATGTCACTAGTAATAATGTAGATCATACTGTAAAATAAATCTGCTTAAGAATTTTATATAAAATTGTATCTTATTACATTCTTATGTCAAATTCAATTATTCTACAAAAGGTTATCAATATATGAGTCCTGATCCATTACACGTTATAATACAAGAGCGAACAACATGCGTTCAGAAGATTTACATGAAGTGCATGATTTTTTTTTTTCTGATAAATAGGTGACTTGAAGAATATACAGTTATTTATATAAATTGTGTATTATTTAGTCTCCTTATATATAAGTTAATGTTTATAGAAAGATGATGAATATATGATAGTCTGATAATATATTATATGATATAAGAGAAAAGAGAAAATGTCTATTCATATTTTAATATATGTAATATTACTTTAACAACTTATAATTCAAAAAAATACTTATAAAATATAAATTGTATCTCATCCATTGTTAGATAGTTTTGTCTTTAAATATATTTTTAATTTTTTTTCAAATGGGTGTCTTTTTTTATTATTAATATGTAGTATAAGTTTTGCATGGCTGTTCGTTCATATTTTTAATCAGAGCATTGACTTTTATGTCAGAAGACCCTCTCACCATACATGTTATAATATTGAACATGACTTGTGATATCTCACCTTTCTAGAATCTTCTTGGACATGTATGCACAAATATTACAATTTATACCAATTTCTTAAATATGATTTTTCTTTTTTCCATGTATAATAATAAGATTTGCAAATTTAAATATGAGAAGAAATGACAAGACAGCCTTCATCTAATTTGAAATCTATCTCTTATCTTTACATGTAAAATGTAATTTGCATTATCATCCTTTACATGACTATTACATGAGATATATAATATTGTATAACATTTTTAAATAAAAAACCTATAAAATCGTGGTAATATACAATATTAATTTTTAAAATTAGATTGTGTTTGCAAATAAAATTTAATCAAATTTGTAGTTTATTTTATAAATGTAAAAAAAATTATGAGTAATCTTCTTATTATATTCTAAGACAAAATTAATATATATATATATATATATATATATATATATATATATATATATATATTCACATAATAACACATGCCTAGGTTTAACTAGTACCTTTATGATAGCTTGTATATAAGAATAATATAATCATTGTAAAATTGATTGACTATTACACCGTTAACAAATTTAATTAAAAAAATATATTTTACCAATCAAATAATTAAATTGCAATTCCTATCATTATTATTGTCCTTATTAAATTATGTGAATAAAAAAGTAAAATATATTTTATAAAATATATAAGAATTTTGATAATATAATCGTAATATAAAATAATTATTTATCAATAGGAAATTCTGAAATGAATTTCAATCTCAATTTTAATTTAAAGAAAATATGTTCCAATAAGAAAAATAAACTATGCAACTTTTGAAAAAAAATATATATATATTAATATAATCTTATACATGACAGATATGTTACACAATCAATCTTTTTTTCACATGCTATGACATGATTGCTTGTTGACTAGTGAGAGAGTTAAGATAGGTTTGCATCGATACAAAAACTCGTAGAATTGTTTAGACAAATAAAATTTTTAATCATTATATATAATATGTGGGAAATATCATTAAATTATATATTCAATAATTTTTATAAAGTGAGAAATTATTTAATCTAATACTTGATATTCTTAAAGATTATAGATTATATATATTATATATAAGAGAGAAATAACATTATAAGTGAATTTTTTATTAAATATTACACAATTAATAACTTCATATAAAGTGTACTTTATTAATCTAATAATTAAATTACAATTTTATATATCTTCATTATTATTTTGTCAAACTGTGTTAAAATTGAATAGTAACAACACGACAAGCATTCATATTTTAGTATATTTTAAAAATATGGGTCACCTTTGATCTTTGTAAATATAAAATAATTTTATAGTGATGTAAAATTATGTATATATAATTGATATGAAATATATTTTTAATATGAAAATTAATTTAAAGAAAATATAATTCAATAAAAAAACGATGCAACATTTTGATAAAAATTATACTTATACATATAACGTGTACAAAATAATCTGTCAACATTAAATGCAAACGTAAGTATATATTAATAATTTGAGCATTTTGATGTATTAATAAGCCTTAAATCAAATTAGAAATAAATAGTTAATGAAGATATGAAATACATATAATTTTTCTTAATCTTCAATTTTTTTGACATTAAGGGTAGTGGGTCATGATATGCTTGTACTGCATGGTATCTTCTTCTCAAGCTTCAATAAAAATTAAGCTTCAGTTAACTTTTTGATAACTGTTAAATCAGTTTCAACATGATTACCGAGTTATTTTTTAACGGCAACACTCACTGGCGTTAAAATTTAACGGAAATTATTGTCCCGATGCTAAATACTTTTTTAATTCAGGAAATTAATGCTGTCGAAACAAACACCGATCCCTTATAAGACGACAACGAAAACTCGCAGGACTACGAGAAACACATTCACAACACACATTCACAAGTTCATTGCTTTCGTTTTCTCAGTCATCATGGACCTTAACTCTCCTCTCTCTGGTTCCAACCGTTCCAACGCCATCGTCCTGATGGGGTATGGCCAACTAGGGTTGAACCGGAGAATGAATGAGCTAAGAATATCAATGGAGAGAACAACAAAAGGCTCGTGGGCTCATGTTTATCCCAGGGAAAAAGTGAGTGTAGTTGAGTCACCCCTTGTTACCAACGTGAAAGCAAGTGACTGGCTGAAAGCTGAGCTTCTCCGTGTGCCAGGGTTAGCCCCTAAGAACATGTTTTTCGGTAACATGCAGAGTGCACAACCCGCACCACCACTTAGGCATGAGTTAATTCTTCTGGGCGAACCGATTCGTTTTGTGAACCATTTTGGCTTTGAAAGCCAAGAATGGGCTCTGCAGAAGCCAAGAGAAGCAGTGAATGAGGTGAAGAGTGGTTCTGGAAATGAAGTGTTCGAGAAATATGATGGTCGAATCCATAGCTATAGGCACAAGAAGAATGGGCCATACACGTGCCCAAAGTGTATGGGCGTATATGCTACGTCCCAACGGTTTGCAGCGCATGTAAGTTCGCTCCACTACAAGTTTGAGTCGAGAAGTGAGAGAACGAAGAGGTTGATGGCCAGATTCCGAAAGCGAAACAAGCTTATTGAATGGGTTAATGGTAAACCTGGTTTTGTTCCTGGGGTTCCTTTGGGAAACATTGCTCCAAACGTTGCTTTCGGAAACAGTGCTCCTAAGGTTGGTTTGGGACATAACAACAACAATGTTGTTGCTCCTCTTCCTCCTCTTCCTCCTGCTCTGAAGGTTAACGTTGTTGTGAAAGCTGAGTGTGATGATGAACTGAGTCCACCACCAGGATTTGAAAAAATCAGTGCTGCTAAGCCAGGGTTTCCTCTTCCTTTTTGAATCTGAGAAATTAACTGTTGGAGGACCTAGGGGGTTCCAAATCAAAGTGGATCCAGATGAATATGTCTAGGTATAGGGTTATCCAAAGTTTAGTTGTTTTGTTCTTCCGGCGGCTGAAACAATTTGAAATGGATTATCTTTTAAATAAATGCGATGTAGTATCAATTTGTAGTTTTTCATTTTCATCAAAATCTGTAATCTTTGTTTGTTTTAAAAGAACTTCCAATTTAACTGTTAAGTTGGCGAATTTCATATTCTATATAATATGAAGTTATTTAGTGGTGAAACTATGAAATTTTAACAATTCGTATTAATTAATCATATTCGTATTACAATAACAATAATGATAAGTGGAATCCTTTTGATTTTAGGGATGTTGGGTCCTACGATTTGGGAGATAAGAGTTTCTCCTCACTTCCCATTACTTTCTTATTACAGTATATATGACTTGCAAAAGAATAATGAATGAGTGATTACCCGTTCGATTTTGTTGTTATTCATTTACATTTGTTTCTGTGATATCAATTCTCATAGAAATGGTTTGCCTGCAATTATTAAGATCATAAAATTATAGTTTTAACTATATTATCTATTTTGTGTTTTTACTTGTTTTTATGAAAATTTGTTATTTAATTTGGTTAGTTATTTAGGTAATGAAACTTATGATAATGTAATTGTAGAAGACATATGTTTATTTAGTTGTATATTATATATTCAATCAATTGTCTTATATTCTATCTAATATTTTTTATTTAAAAATCTTTTGTTTAACCTTTTTTTTAGAGTTTTATTATCTGAATTGTGCATGTGTTGACATATGTTCATCGCTTTTAATAAAAAACATCAATTTTGATATATAAATTATCTTATCACACAATTTGTCTGATATTATCTATGATCTGTGTTATACTTTATGAGAATATATGTGTTGTCATCTTAAAAAAAAGTCTGTCACATATTTTTCTTTTACACAACATATCTCTGCAAAGACACTAATATAAAAAGTCACAATCTATATAAATTTTATAAATATTTTCTTTTATTTATGTAGAATGGGATTTACAAATTATAATGTAGAAAATCTCATAAATTTGTGCTACATAACATGTTATATATTTATTATTACATGTACATGAAATACTATGTTTACAATAATACAATCAATATTTATCATATATAAAAAAATAAAAAACTTATCTTTTCCTCTTTACGTATATGAAGGTTCATATTTTTGTTTTAGAGGAAAATAATAATATTATATTTGTTTTACGTATTTATAAAATCGTGGTAACATATAACATCAAAATTTCAGAATTATGTAAAAAAAAACTTAGTTTATAAATACGATTTAATTTCTTATAAAAGTAAAAAAAAATTCACAATCTTGGTAGTTGGCGAGAGAGTGATTAAAGCAGCACAATTTGCATAAAAATATGAATGAGAAAAACACCACACGCATTGACGGATCTTCTTGGGAGTCGAGGGGGGCCGTGGCGCCCCCAAAGTTTTATAACTCCCATGTAATTTATGATTTTGGCCCCCCAAACTTAATGAACATTTAATATATTTACATGTATATTTACAATTCTATCTCTCTCCTTAATTTTGTAACTCTCATGTAATTTATGACTTTGTCTCCCTCAAACTTAATGATTATTTAATATATTTAAATATATATCTACAATTTTATCCTTTTACCCTTTCATATTTTTTCTTCCTTTTATATTTATTTATTATTTATTAATAATATATTATTTTATATTTATTTATTATTTATTAATAATATATTATTTGGTCCCCAAAATCAATGGTTAAGATCCGTCACTGATCACACATCTCTCGTTTTCAACAACGAACGAAGTTCGAGAAATCATAACTCTAAAAAGATTAAGAATCAATTTAATAATAATAATAATAATATTATTATTATTATTATTATTATTATTATTATTATTATTATTATTATTATTATTATTATTCAATGTTTCAGCATAATTTTTTTATTCGTAAAATTAGATATATATTATTGCAACAGAAAATTTATTACATGAAGAATAAAGCCTCTTATTTTATCACAAGAGGAGAAGATTAAATAAAGTCCTGAGTTATAAACTAAGGTCACATAAAATTCCTGAGTTAAATAACAGTGTACTACATAATTATCATGTAGTACACGTAAATATCATGGAAAAAGATGATGCTCAATTAAAATTGTTCATTCCATAAAAAGAAAAAACAAACTCAAAGTTGAAATTAAACATGTGTGCTTATATAGAAGGAAAAAAATAGGTTGAATAAAACTCATTCCTTAAATTTGTAGTTAATACGATGTTAGGTACATCTTACTTTAGATTTTTAAATTTAATTTATAATTAATTTTAGTCATATAAATTTTAGAAACTGAATTTTATACACTCACCTAAACACATGCGTGGCAAAAGTCTAGATATCATGAAACAACCATTTTGAACGTAAGATTACCCTGAAATAGGCACTCGTATAAAAATCCAGTAATATGGATACTATTAAATGTTAGATTTAAGTTAAATATTTGTGTAATGTTTTCTTAATCTTTGGAGCATACTTTCACCTCTTTTTTTTTTTTTTTTCTCCATTCCACCATCAAACTGCTTAAGAATTGCTCCTCAATCAATATTTCATCTGAAAATTTAAGAATTTGAATAGGGTTTCTGCATTAAAAAAAAATTATACTATTGTGTTATTGACATTACTATTTACTTTTTTTTATTGATATTTTTTTACATTTCAAAATACAATATTTTTTATAAGTATTTTATTGTGTTCAGAACATATTTATTATTTAATTTGGTTATTTAATCAATTTTGTGTTTATATACTGATTTTGGGTAATGAAAGAAATATTTTTATTATTGTATTATTAATATTACTTCTTAGTGTTTTATCATTATTTTGTACATTCTTAAATACAATAAATTTATCACAGTGACAAATTCAAACTGTATTTATTTTAAAATTATAATTTAAATTATTTTATAATTTAAATATGTTACTAATTAAAAAAAAAGAGAGTGATGACTACTAAGTATATTTGTTCTTTTGTTTTTGTTTTTTTAATATCTAATTTTTATTTAATTTGGTTATTGATTTTTGGTAATGGGATTTATCATGTACTTGCTTATTTGTATATTTAGCAAATTGTCTCATGTTTTTTATTTGAATATATTTTATTTATTTATTTTCTTTTTAGAATTTTATCGTCTTGATTGATCAGTATAATGAATTTTGCATTCATAATTTTAATAAAACATTAGTTTATATATATATATATATATATATATATATATATATATATATATATATATATATATCAAAAGGTACACTTGATATAAATTTTCTTTCTCATACATATTCTTTCTTCTTATATATAGATATTAAATATGACTTATGTTATCACCTTTGTCACATATTCTTATTTTTTTATATATTTGAAAAACATTAATATAAAAACATATGAGAAGTCACAATCGATACAATTTTCTTAAAGATACTTTTTTTCTTTGATTTCATATATACATAGAATATTTGCAAATTAAAATATGAAATTTTTTTAGAAGACACATTTCATCTAAATTGTTTGAAATCTCTTATCTCAATACTTTATGTGCATTATCATCATGGCAACCACATTTTTACTTGTCAATGTCATATATTTATTATTACATGATGTTCTTCAAGGTATATGTTTAAAATAATGTTTTAATATTTATCCTACATAAGAAAATAAAAAACAAATCGATTTTTTTTTTATCTTTCTGCTCCTTACATGAATTTTTTTAAAACATTAACATTATATATATATATATATATATATATATATATATTAAATATTTATTTATAATCAAAAAATAAAATATTACTATATAATATGATTTTTAATTATATAAGAAAAAAATATTATATAGTATAACTTGTTCGCTAATTAAAAAAATTAACCTTTAACTTATATTAGATAACACAATTTATGTTTAAATAAAAAATACTCATAAAATCGTGGCAATATTTAACAGCATATTTTTAATTATTTGTAAATAAAAAATTGTGTTTGCAAATATAATTTAACTAAATTTATAATTTTTTTATGAACAAAAAAAATTGCATGTGGTACCGGTGAGAGTGATTTATTATTAGGTAGCATGGTAAATTTAAGAAGAGTGATGAGTATAGACAGAGAGTGAGCGCAGGGTAATTTATTACATTTTAAAATATAATAAATTATAGTTTAGAAGTATTTTTTTAGTTTCTTGAATAAGATATATTTATTTATAAAATTGTCTTATATATTATTTTGTTTTTTAAGATTTATTCTCTATTGATTGATATGTATTATGAAATTTGTATATCTATCTTATGTTTATTATTTTTAATAAAAATGTTTTTTTTTTATATAAGAAGATAAAATTGATATTTTTATTATCATATTATTAATATTATTTTATTTTATTTTAATTTAAATTTATATTTTAGAAAATAAATTTTATTTTATCTCATAAAAAGTATAATTTTATGTTGTAAGGTAAAAATGTGAAAAAAATATATAAAAAAGATTGGTGTAAGAAAATGAAAAAGTGAGATAAAAAAAAATAAAAAAAATAAAGAAAGATAAAAAAATATAAATGAAAATTTGTATAAAAAAATAAATATGATATTCATTATAAATAAAAAATCAAGAGAAAAATTAAAATTAAAATTTTATTTAGATTTCTAAAATAAATTTTATTTATTTTTTAATATGTATATATATATATATATATATATATAATTTAATTATACGAAGTCTATTTTTATCAGAGAAAAATTATTAAAAAAATTTTGAATTTTACTGTTTAATCAAAACTCGATTTACTGTATATTATATATTTAACAAATTGTTTTATATATTATATGATATTTATGTGTTTAAAAATTTGTATTTATTTATTTTTTTAGAATTTCATTGTCTTGTTTATTGACTAGTATAA